CTGGGAACAGGGGGAGGAGACCCTGGATGCCGATGTGCGGAGGGGGAAGGGGTGGCACAGCACGGCACAGCACGACCCGCGCAGGGTGCACAGCAGACGCCGGCGCTACTCACATATTCCGCGGTGTCATCCGTCTCCCACTACGCGCGGGAGGAGCGGCGCGGGAGAGAGGAGGCGGTGAGAGAGGGGGCCAGAGAGGGGGGAGAAGCAGCGCCGGGCAGGCCGCCCACCGGGACCCCTCCCCGCCCCTGCCCACCTGGGCGTCGGCCAGCATGACGTCCTTGATGCGCGGCGGCCCGCGGGCCTCGGCGCCCTCCATGCGCACGTAGTGGACTTGGTAGCCGCGGATCTGGCCATGCTGCCGGCCGGGCGCGGGCGAGCGCCACAGCACGCGGATGGCCGTGGCATTGAGCGCCTCCGCCTCCACCTTCCGCGGCGGCGCGCTGGGCACTGGCGGGCGGGAGGAGGGAGGGGAGGGGCAGGCGGGGTCGTTACTAGAGCGACCGGCCCCTCCCCGGGCAGGTGCCCGAAGCCGGGGCGCAGATTGGCTGCCGGTTAGGGAGAGCTCGGGGCTTCCATCCGTCTTGTCCCCCATGGGCTCTGATGGCCGGTCTGCCTCATTCCATTGGGAGAAGGGGAAACTGAGGCTCCCACTGTGCCCCAGCAGAACCTGAGTCACCTGCGGGGGCTTCCACCTGTCCTAAAAGCCACACCCACCTGTTTCCTCCAGGCCCACAGATCAGGGCGCTGGAAACCCCCTACTAAGTGGCCCCACAGTGGTTCTAGACTCCCATGGTCAGAAAGCGGCCTGGCTGGGCTTTGAACCCGGGAAGTCCAGCTCCACACGTTTACATCTCAGCAGGCCCTGGGGGGCCTTTCTCAACACCCCTCCCACTGGATACACCCCATCCTGCCCCAGGGTAGGGCTGGCATGGAGAGAAGGGGCTTCATTTTGTCTCTGTGCCTGGGGTGCCCGCCATCTGGCCCTCAAGGAAGTGTGCCCAAGGAACTTCCCGGGCCAACTGCTCGGAGAGCAAACCCCTCCCAGGAAGGAGCCGAGATTTCTGTGCAGAGATGGCTGACTTCCCCCAGGGACCGCCCACAGGTCCACTTAACTCTCCAGAGATAAATTCCCCGCCGCCTGAAATTGTCCCAGTGAGGAGTGTTTACACCACAGCCATAGGCCGATGCTTCCCGGAGTGCGATCAGCATACTGCTGTCCACAACCTTTCCAGGAGCGCAGGCTCCAAAGGAGCCCTCAGTGTGAGGCTTTCCTGGGAGCCTGGGGCCCAAACTTGAACCCAATTCTAACTCGTGGGGGCCCTATAGGATATCATAGATCTGCCCTGTTGGTTTCTGAGACTGTAACTCTTGGTGGGAGTAGAAACCCTCATCTTTACCCCGTGGAGCGGCCGGTGGTTTCGATCTGCTGATCTCACGATTAGGAGCCCAACGTGTCACTCGCTACGCCACCCAGGGGCCTGGTTTTGTTGTGGGTGCTGTTAAATGTTTCCCACACCCCATCTTTTCTGGGTCCACTGTATAAACACACCGCGGGGCTGCCGGTGTCACTTCCTGGGCTAAAGCCAGGCTGTGAGGCCTGAAACCACCGTCTCGGAGACCGAGGAGCCCGGAGAGGCCGCTGCAGGCCTCCTTGCCTCCCGGAGACCCCGGTGTCCCGGGATGGACAGCTCCGTGGCTGGGGCCTGGTGGGGACATGTCCCGGCCAGGGCTGGTGCTTACCGTCCTCGTCGGTGCGGACGACCACGGGCGAGCTCTCGGGCCCTGGTCCCACCTCTGTGTGCGCGACGGTGGTGATGCGGTAGTCCGTCCACTTCTCCAGCGCCTCCAGCAGGATCTGGGTGGCGGTCGGGGGGATGCCGTTCACCTCCTTGGGTTCCGGGTCCTCTGAGCCCAGCGGTCGGTAGCGGACGCTGTAGCCCACCAGGGCCCCGTTGTGCGTTTCCGGTGGCGGCGGCCTCCAACTTACCAGAATCGCTGTGGAGCGCGTGCTGACACATTTAACATCTTGAGGGGGGGCTGACGGTTCTATGGGGGAGGGGAGAGCATGGGGGCGAGGGGGTGGGAGGAGGAGGGACGGGCAGGGTGGGGAGAGGAGGGGAGGGCGGGCAGGGAAACAAAAGATGGGAAAGAGAAAATAAAAAAGAAGATGATAACAAACAAAACAGAACCAAACCAAAGAGAAGTTGAACCCAAAAGAGAAGGGTGTAACCAAAAGTGGGATGAAGGATGGACGGACGGACGGGCAGGGGTGGGGAGGGCTGGCCAAGAACGCTGCGCTCACCACCTGGCGCACAGTAGGTCTTGGGCAGAGGGCCGCCATGGTACCCAGGGAGTCCACACCCACTGTGCCCCAGGGGCCGAGACAAGGATAACAACCCCGAAAACTCCAGATATTGAGCATCAATCACAGGCTCCGAGAACCACAGGAAGACACTGCATCACGAGCGCCTACTGCGTGTCGAGCGAGGTGCCCTGGTGGTGCTGTGGTTAAGCACATGGCGCCAATCTGACAGGCCAGCTGTTCGAGTCTACTGGCTCCATGGAAGAGAGATGTGGCAGGCTTGCTTTTGTCCATAGACAGCACAGCCGTGCAATCTCTTATCTGTCTGTCCGATAGGGTCGCTGTGAGCAGGAATGGCTACTGTGTGGCACCTACTATGTGCCGAGTACCATGTCAAGGGTAACAGAAGTGAAAAAGCCCCAGCAGAGAACTACTGTGTGCTAAGCACAATGCCAAGGGCCTCACAGAATAGTGATGCAAGCATCTATGTGGCAGGCACCTACTGTGTGCCAGGCAGTACTGTGAACCAAGTACCCTGCCAAGGCCACGGAAGCCCCGTTCTTGAGAGCCTACTAAGTGCCAGGGACCATGTCAGGGTTACTTCATGCATGTTACTTAATGGAGTAACAGTGTACACACGATTCACTAAAGACCTACTGTGTACAGCACTGTGCCTGGGGACCACACTCCTTGGCACCTACTATGTGCCCAGCCTTACACCAAGAGCTTCACAGAGTAACCATAACGTTCTCCTTTATTGAGAACCCACTGTGCACTGGCTATTACATTATGAGGTTTAGAGAAGCCGATGCCCCTGTTCTGCACATCTACCCGATGCCCCTGTTCTGCACATCTACCGTGCCCCAGGTGCCCTGCCTAGGGCTCTGTGGAGAACTAATCAAAATGCCCGCTTACTGGACCCCTACTGTGTATGAGGTAATGGGCTCAGGGCTGTCAGTTAAAACGGCCCATGGTTTGCACACCTACTGTGTTTGCAGAGCCCTGACTCTACGCATGGCACCATGCCCAGTCTGCCACAGATTAAGCCACATGTATGGAGCACCTACTGTGGGCAGTTGGAAGGCATCTGACAATAACCGTAACTGCCCTCCAGAGTGAAAATGACAGTGGCCACGTAGGTGGCCCCTGCTGTGTGCCAGACACTGGGCTGCGTGAAAGCATCACAGGGTAACAGGAATGCTGTTGCTGGCCGGGGCTGCCCAGTCCTTCCTATTCCCGGCCACCCCAGGCAGGACAGAAGGAAACACTGCCTGGCCCCGTGCCGTCGGCACGTCCCTGCTGTACTGGAGCCTGGTGTTGCCGCCACCGCGTCAGTCCATCTCGTCTGGGGTCTTCCTCTTGGTTGGACGTCCTTCTCCAGCGACTGGTCCCCTCCTGATAACACGTCCGAAGTACGTGAGACCGAGTCTCCCTTCCCATCGCCCACCCCCTTGTTTCTAGGGAGCATTCTGGCTGAACTTCTTCTGAGACCGATGTTTTCATTCTTCTGATGGTCCACGGTGTCTTCAGTATCTTTTGCTGAGATCATAATCGGCATCGTTTCCTCCTTCTTCCTTGTCCAGCTTCAACTGCGTGTCAGGTGACTGATGGACAAAATGACACCCTCCTTTGGAAAAAAAAAAAAAGGCAGTTGGGATACGGAAGTCTTATGCAGAGCTGCCCAACGCAATGGGCTGGCTGGTTTCGTGATTGCTGATCTTCTGGGCATTGACCGAATCTTTCCTCCATTTGATCAGGATGTCGGTCTCCTGGTGCGGTGGTCCGGATTTGGGTTTCCTTTAGAGTGAGCTGTAAAATCCATACAGAAGGCTACACTCTTCCGTCTTCAGCTGCAGCGCCCCAAGCCTTCCTTGCTTCCGGCAGCAGTTGTGATTATCTGCATGTTGCAGCTTGTTCGTGAGACTTCTTCCAGTTGAGACCCGTCTTCTTTGTCTAGTTCACCTTCTTGGATGACTCGCTCAGCCTACAGCTTGAAGGAGGAGGTCAAAGAATAAAATCCTGCCACACGTCCTTCCCGATTTCCAACCACGCTACTCCCCCCTTGTTCTAGCTGAATGACTGCCTGCTCCCCGGTCTACGTCCAGACTCCTCACGAGTTCAATGAACTGTTCTGGAGCTCCCATTCCTCGGTGCGATCCAAAATCTATCATGAGCCACACAGTTGAATGCCTTCGCACAGTCAATGAACGACAGGTCCGCACCTGCTTTTAGCCCAGACCCCACCTGACGTCAACAACAGTATTCCTTGCTCTGAGTCCTCTTCTGGTTCTGGCTTGCATTTCTGACAGCTCCCTGCTGACGCTCTGTTGCGAGTGTGTTTGAAGGCTCCTCGGCGAAGTCCGCCTGGCGTACTAATGACATTTCTGTGTTTTGTCGGGCCACCATTCTTTGGAAGTGGGCCCAGATAGGGATCTCTTCCAGTCGGTTGGCCAGGTAGCTGCCTTTCAAGCCTCTTGACATCCGTGAACAGCGAGTAAGTCCAGCGTTGCGTCCGTGTGTTGGACACACTTCAATTGGTGCTCTGGTTCTGGCCCATGCCTTCAGAGCAGCTTGGACTTCTTCATCGCCTTCGGTTCTGGGTCATCAGCTACCTCCTGAGACGGCTGGACGTAACCAATTCTTCTTGGGACAGTGACACTTTGTATTCGTTCCATAATTTTTTTTTTTTGGATGCGCCCTACAGGGTTTAG